CCAATTACGTGCAAGCATTAGCAACTTAAAACACTTGAAAGACTCAAAACTTAAAAATGAAAAAGTAACAACCAGACTATGCAAAATATATGACCTAGAAAGGAAAACAATTGTTTTGTTTTCCCAAAGCGCCTAGTCATTGAGGCTTTGGGAACAATATCAAGAAATTTCACACAGTACTATAAGCAGTTGCACATCTCGGAAATAACCCCATCAGAGCTGCCAAATAGCCTTAGTGTTAACATGGAGGACAGATCACCCATCAGCCAACCTGGTTGGTGGCTGATAAAAAGGTAACAAAATTAGAATTGACATCATGAACGTGTGCCACTGTGTGGATTTTCTGTCACTGGGTGGGGGAGGGGCATAAGTGTGTACTCCCCCCCCCCAAGATGGCTGTGCACTGGGACTCCAGTCTCTAAAAAGTGGCTCTATCTGAGGAGGGCCCTTCTTATTCTCCATGGATCTGTTGTCAGACCCCAAACTGCCTCCAATAAAGCTGTGGCAAAATTACAAGACACCCTTCCATTTTTTTATATACACATATACACCAGACAAATACAAATGTAAAGGGGGAAGATGAGTGAGAGAAGCTCTAACAATGAAAGAGGCCAGGTAGCTGAGACCAGCTGTTTCTATACCCTCCAGACTGAGCCTCACCTATGGACTGATTCAATTGATTGGCTTTGGAAGTGTAGAAATCTCCTCCTTCCCTGTAGTATGTGCTAGGACTGTGGCTCCCAACCTTCAGTAACCTTGAGTAAACCAGAAGCCTTCACCACCAGCTGTGCTGGCCCAGGTTTCTGGGAGTTGCAGTCCAAGAACATCTGGATTACCAAAGGTTGTGAACCCCTGTGCTAAGACAAAGAAAGCAGCCTCAGCATGGCAGCCACCACATTACTCCAGCCCTTTGGAGCCACAGTGATGACAAAAATGACCTTGTGAGTTGAATATGAGTAGAGTTGAAATATGAATAAAGAATGAAAGATTGCCAAATATTTTTAAAAATTAGTGGGGTAATGGGATGGTTGGAGGAAGATGTGGCCCTTAAGGATCTGCTCTACAGAACCCCTAGCATTCGATATTTGGTTTTCAGTCCTGTTTGAAGAATTGGGAATGCTGAGAAGCAATTCTTGTGAAATAATTCTTGTTTGTAGCCCTTGGATAATGTAATGCATTGAGATAGTGGAACAGCATGCACAGAAATTATTGTTGCTGAGATTCCAAATAGACCTTATTAGGATTTACATTCCCTTTTCTACAGGAACAGTTATTTGACTGTTGCATTATTTAATTTGTATAGCATATGCACAGTACCTATTTTCCTCCTGGCATTTCATTTATTCTATCCTTCTCATATTAAGCTAAGTAGATAAAGTTTAAGAGTATTATATCAGTTTTACTGTATATTAAGAGAGAACAATAACCTGGACATTTGATTAGAAATACTCTTCTCAGATGCAGCATGAAATAGCAGAGTTCATGATGAAAGGCACAACTGTGCTGCTTATTAAGGATAAAATAGCTGCTACTATAAAAGATTAAGTCAAAGACACTTTAGTAGTTCCATCACAGACATTAAATCTTTTGTTCTCTGGCCGGGGTTTGAATGTTTGCAAAATTAGATGGTATTGTTAAAAAGTCCATGTAAACCCTAAAGCATTGTCACATTTTTATCGACAGTGCTGAATTTCACCCTTCAGTGAAATTTGTACAACTTCTGTAGCATTCGCACATTTTCCCACCATTGTTATATTTACAACACAATTTACAATATACAGAAGGTTATTGGGTGTAGAAGGGGAAGAGCATTTCCTTTCTAGATTGTCACTATGTTGCTGCAAAGTAGTTTATTTTTAACTTGAAATTTAGAAGTAGCCAAATGATAGCAATTTAGCCAAAGCATTATAGAAGGTATGTTACAATTCTGGCTTCCAGGCAATGTTTGATTTAGGTGTCTTTGAAGCTATCATCACCCTGAATTCCTATCTTTTCATCGAGTTGGCGAAACAAAGTTACAGAGTCAGTTTGATATTCTTTTATTCAGTAATAAAATAAGTGCATTGTGTTCTACTTTCAATCACAGTGAAATTTGAAAGACACTTTGAAAATAAAATTGCTCATGTGGTTCCTTTAGCAGGAATTCCTCAACAGAGAAACAACTTACGGAGCAACCCAGAAATTATGAGTTGACAGAATGGCAAACATCATTGAGGGGGGAAATAGTAACTCATATTAGCCAGAACACAGAAAGACAAAGGCTCCCCAATTTGTTCCAGTTACAAAGAAAACCAGTAAAAGATCTACTGAATGATGTAAATGTTGTCATCAGAACAATCCCAACCAACATGCTAGGAAACAAACTAGCTCATTTATAGCACAGCTACCATAATAACCATGGAACTTGGTTACAAGCTGTAAAAAAAACCTGGAAAACTTGTGGCACTCCAAAATGGAAAATTCAACTGGAAAGAAAAATAAGCCAATTACGTGTAAGCATTAGCAACTTAAAACACTTGAAAGACTCAAAACTTAAAAATGAAAAAGTAACAACCAGACTATGCAAAATATATGACCTAGAAAGGAAAACAATTGTTCTGTTTTCCCAAAGCGCCTAGTCATTGAGGCTTTGGGAACAATATCAAGAAATTTCACACAGTACTATAAGCAGTTGCACATCTCAGAAATAACCCCATCAGAGCTGCCAAATAGCCTTAGTGTTAACATGGAGGACAGATCACCCATCAGCCAACCTGGTTGGTGGCTGATAAAAAGGTAACAAAATTAGAATTGACATCATGAACGTGTGCCACTGTGTGGATTTTCTGTCACTGGGTGGGGGAGGGGCAGAAGTGTGTACTCCCCCCCCCCAAGATGGCTGTGCACTGGGACTCCAGTCTCTAAAAAGTGGCTCTATCTGAGGAGGGCCCTTCTTATTCTCCATGGATCTGTTGTCAGACCCCAAACTGCCTCCAATAAAGCTGTGGCAAAATTACAAGACACCCTTCCATTTTTTTATATACACATATACACCAGACAAATACAAATGTAAAGGGGGAAGATGAGTGAGAGAAGCTCTAACAATGAAAGAGGCCAGGTAGCTGAGACCAGCTGTTTCTATACCCTTCAGACTGAGCCTCACCTATGGACTGATTCAATTGATTGGCTTTGGAAGTGTAGAAATCTCCTCCTTCCCTGTAGTATGTGCTAGGACTGTGGCTCCCAACCTTCAGTAACCTTGAGTAAACCAGAAGCCTTCACCACCAGCTGTGCTGGCCCAGGTTTCTGGGAGTTGCAGTCCAAGAACATCTGGATTACCAAAGGTTGTGAACCCCTGTGCTAAGACAAAGAAAGCAGCCTCAGCATGGCAGCCACCACATTACTCCAGCCCTTTGGAGCCACAGTGATGACAAAAATGACCTTGTGAGTTGAATATGAGTAGAGTTGAAATATGAATAAAGAATGAAAGATTGCCAAATATTTTTAAAAATTAGTGAGGTAATGGGATGGTTGGAGGAAGATGTGGCCCTTAAGGATCTGCTCTACAGAACCCCTAGCATTCGATATTTGGTTTTCAGTCCTGTTTGAAGAATTGGGAATCCTCTACAGAACCCCTAGCATATGATATTTGGTTTTCAGTCCTGTTTGAAGAATTGGGAATGCTGAGAAGCAATTCTTGTGAAATAATTCTTGTTTGTAGCCCTTGGATAATGTAATGCATTGAGATAGTGGAACAGCATGCTTAGGATTTACATTCCCTTTTCTACAGGAACAGTTATTTGACTGTTGCATTATTTAATTTGTATAGCATATGCACAGTACCTATTTTCCTCCTGGCATTTCATTTATTCTATCCTTCTCATATTAAGCTAAGTAGATAAAGTTTAAGAGTATTATATCAGTTTTACTGTATATTCAGAGAGAACAATGACCTGGACATTTGATTAGAAATACTCTTCTCAGATGCAGCATGAAATAGCAGAGTTCATGATGAAAGGCACAACTGTGCTGCTTATTAAGGATAAAATAGCTGCTACTCTAAAAGATTAAGTCAAAGACACTTTAGTAGTTCCATCACAGACATTAAATCTTTTGTTCTCTGGCCGGGGTTTGAATGTTTGCAAAATTAGATGGTATTGTTAAAAAGTCCATGTAAACCCTAAAGCATTGTCACATTTTTATCGACAGTGCTGAATTTCACCCTTCAGTGAAATTTGTACAACTTCTGTAGCATTCGCACATTTTCCCACCATTGTTATATTTACAACACAATTTACAATATACAGAAGGTTATTGGGTGTAGAAGGGGAAGAGCATTTCCTTTCTAGATTGTCACTATGTTGCTGCAAAGTAGTTTATTTTTAACTTGAAATTTAGAAGTAGCCAAATGATAGCAATTTAGCCAAAGCATTATAGAAGGTATGTTACAATTCTGGCTTCCAGGCAATGTTTGATTTAGGTGCCTTTGAAGCTATCATCACCCCGAATTCCTGTCTTTTCATCGAGTTGGCGAAACAAAGTTACAGAGTCAGTTTGATATTCTTTTATTCAGTAATAAAATAAGTGCATTGTGTTCTTCTACATACCATAAGGAAAGACATAAAAGACAAGCGAAAGGAGTATTAAAAAGACTATTACAATGCAGAGCTTGCTCAGTGCCCCTAAACATAATAATTCAGAGCTTTCTAGCAGTGGCTGGATTATTTATTGCCACTGTCTGAGGAAGCTCATACTGTGATGAATGAAAGGTGAGGAGCAATTAAGATAAAGGGTAGGGTACTCTCCAGTGGATGAAATTATTTTCTGGCTTTATTGTTTCCTATAAAAGGAAAGAAAAAGAAAGAAACACCTTTAAAGCCCATCAGAAGTCCTAAGTGCATTCCTTTTTCTTTGCTTTTTAGATATTTCCAAGCAGTGCAGCTTTTGATGGTGCAACAAGACTGACACTGTGTGGGTGGGACTTTGGTTTCAGCAAAAACAACAAGTTCAGTTTTAAAAAAATGTCAGTATATATTGGGGAACAGCAGTGTGTTCTGGATGCCAAAGCGAGTGACAAAAACAAGTAAGTTACCAATACTCTTTCTAAGGATTCCTTCTGATCCATGAAGTTAATGGAAGTTGCCAAAACAAAAACAAAAACCAGAAGTTATTTTTTTCTTTCAAAAAGAGATATTACATACTTACATTGGTGGAACGATGATGATGATGATATTTATATACTTAAAAAAGAAAAAGAAAGTAAGTGCTGTTATTGTATTCTATACTGGGGGGGGACATGATTCAGAAAGATGGCCTACAAATCTTCAATTAAAAAAAATCAAAGTAGTAAAATAATCCCTTCCAACTGATAATTTGCCTGTGTTGGTGGAAGATAATCCAATTCCCAGGTTATATTTCTGGCTAAGTCCTTGCTATAGTTCTTGCACTTCTTAGAGGGCAGACAAGTGCTCCCAGTCAGACCTAATGCAAAGTTCTACTCCAAGGCATTCCTCTCCTCCTTTGTTTTCCCAATTAGGAATTGAGTCGGGAGTGATATCTTTTATCCAGAGAGCCCATGTACAGCAGCGAACTAGGACTCAGCAAACCTGGATTCAGGTTCTTGCTCGGCTATAAACACTCACAGGATGGGTGGGTGGAGCTGGTAAAACCACTCCTCAAATGTCTCACATGCCTGGAAAACCTGATTAGGGTTGCTACAAGTCAGAGGCAACTTGATATAACATAACAAGCATCTCTGATCCTGGACTAGAGATGATAGCAGGGAGTTTTGCCCACCTGGCATTCTCAACACACAATGCAGTAAAGTTTCCAAGAGCCAAATACCCTCAGGGTTCCCGCACCTGGCACTTGGGTCCCAGAGGCAGCTTAGCCTGTCCCACATTCTCCCTGATAGAAAGATGCTTCAGAGACCCAAGAAGCAGCTGAAGGAATGCTCTTACAAGCCCATCTTTGGTGTACATCCTTATTTGCTCTTCTCCCCACCTTTCTCCACATGAGGAAGGTAAGGAGGAAGCCAAGGCAGAACTCTGACTGCACCTTCACCTGGACATCTAATCCCCCTCCCTGCATTCAGGAACCCTACAGTGTCAGACCAGAACTCTGACTGCACCGTCACCTGGACATCTAACTCCCCCTGCATTCAGGAACCCTACAGTGTCAGATTGTAGCCATGCCCTCATTATTGTGGTATACAGAGTTGCTGGAATCATAATTGCTTGAAGCTACCATTTCTGGAAAAGATATATTTGCCACAGCACCAGTTCAGTGCGACCTATGGCAGTATGATTAAACTGCCAATTAAAAGTGTTGCTCTGGAGCTACTGGAAGTAATCTGGCAGAAATATATGTATTTCAGACTCCAGTTATTTCTGGACCTTGTCAATACTTGCAATCAGAGCTTTAGGGCACATAAGGTGACTCCTCTGTCTTGGAACTCAGATCTTCAATGTCTGTACTATAACCCTCTAGCAAAATGTGGAAACCATCATGGTTTGTAATGATGGAGTGGCACAGCAGTAAGGCTATCAACAAAGCACCTTTTCCCCCCTATGACTTGCCCATAAAAGCTTCATCGCATGAGGCCTTTAGCTATATTTCTGATAAAGGTATTCTAACACATTCTCTTCCTTAAAAAAAACAGTAATAAAACAGTGCAAAATATAATAAACAATAGATAGCAAAAGAAGAAAGAATTAAGTGCTGGCAGGAGGGAAGGCCTGGATCCATTTATGAAGGATTTACACATAGATCTGTGTAAAACAAAAGTTTTTTTAAAAAATCAACCACTGAGAGTGCAACAAAATCTTAGTCTCCATTGCCTTGGTGTAAGGGAGGCACATAAAAAGGGAGATGCACTTACGTCCCTATGGTTATGGTGCACAGTATATATGTGTGCCCAGTATATGTTCCCCCCAGATATATATTTGCATCTGGATTTAGTCATTTGTTATGGGGCTGGAATATACACACATACATGCGTGTGTGTGTGTGTGTGTGTGTTTGCATCTGGATTTAGTCATTTGCTATGGGGCTGGAATATACACACATACATGTGTGTGTGTGTGTGTACATATGTATATGTATATGTATATAATTTATGTATATATATAGTATGTATAATGTATGCACGTGCATGCACGCACCCACACACACAAGTCTATTTGTCCTTATCAGCCAGGAGTATCTTGTGAATAACAGCCTGTAAGGTCAATTTATATTCACTGGGATTAAAAGGAAAGAAATAGTCTGCACCTTAAGAAGACCTTCAGTTAGCTGATCTTACTCTTCTTTGTTGTTCAGACTCAATGTATTATGATGAGCCTGTGCAATACTGTTTTATTTATAGCATAGTTAGGACTAACATCTTTGTCTTTTTGTTGAAGATTGGAATGCACACTTGGTCCTGTGAAGAATGCACGTTTTAATGTTTCAAGCACTGTTTCAAACGGACAAGCAAATGCTTCTTTTAGTACATTTTCTTACGTGGTATGTGATTAGTGTTTCTGAAACAATTTTTAATGGGTGTTATATTTCTTATTTTTTTTATGTATGACTTTTAAAATAGTTATTATTCAAATCAACCATTTAAAAAAATAACAAGCCACGTTCTTTTTACTGTACAGAATCCCACCATAAGGAGTATCTCCCCAACCTATGGTCCAAGATCTGGGGGAACCCTGCTGACATTAACTGGTGAATACCTAAGTAGTGGAAATTCACAAGAGATCCATGTTTGTAAAAAGCAATGCAGATTGACCAGGTATAAATCTTAGAAATACTGTATTCACTCTTATTGCTTCATATTGGCTTTAAACTTAGTTTTGTCAGGAGAATGGCCTAAACAGCATCAGGCATCAAAATACATTTCTAAATATTACACAAAAATATATAACTGGTCCTTGTAAATATGAGAGTCTTGAAATTATTTTTATAATAATCAATCAAAGGTTTCGAATTAACAACAAAGTCATTTTGTTCCTGTTGTTTCTCTCTTTTGTCCTCATGCCATATGTTTCTTTGCCATTGTGGCCAGATCCCTTATTTTATCAAGCCAGTCTTTCAGAGAATTCAAAGATGAGAGATAAGACTTTGGCAAATTTTTGGTCTGGTTCATAGCTAAAAGTCTTTACCTTAAACATAATCATTTATTGAATCAAGGATGAGAGGTATACCTAACATGCTTCTCTTCATCCTCTCTTTTGTACTGAAATATAAAACTTCTAGGGTTTGTTAAGCTTCAATTGCTTAAACTGGGAAACTGTGATTTAATCCCAGATTATAAACCATGTTCAGCCAACTTTTCCTACTGTTTCCCCAACTCACTGCAAACCTGCTTTAGAATATGTGCTGTACGAGTATATATCTTGCGACAGTGCTTGTAGCAAGCATTCTATATTAATTCGTTGGGTGTTTCTTCTGCAGAGTATCTAATAAAACTGTAGAGTGTTATACCCCTCTACAAAGAGAAGTGTCAGAGTGTCACGTTGAAATGAAAATCGACTCAGTTGTTCGTTCAGGGGCTTATTTTACATACAGAGAAGATCCTGCTGTTTCTAAAATATATCCAGCTAAATCCTTCCTAAGGTGAGTGAAGCTTTACTATTGACAGAAAAATGGCAACAAAGGAAAATAGAACAGCGTTGCTGCAAAATAGGAAAGGACTGCTCTTGATAATTGATCTTAACGACTTTTTGAGGATTGGGGCTTTTCTTTAGAAGCCTCTTCTGTGTGATGCACTTCCACACAGCCGTGATACTTGTGGGGAGGTGCACTTAGTTTTCATACAAAATAAATAAACAACACATGACAGCCAGTGCCTCTGTTACCATCTGATATCCCTTGTTCAACGTTCTGTCAATTATGCTTAATGCTTTGACGTGTAACCTGGACATGGTTACACTTTAAAGCAATATTAAGCATAATTGGGCTACCCAGACAGTCTCTCCACCCTAGTGTCTTGCCCGATCATGGACCTTATGGGATACTGATAAAGTGTAAGACAAGATAAGGATGATGAACTTGTTAGTGTAGAAAGAGGCAGGTTTTTCCAGGGCTAAAAGCTCTAAGGAGTTGCTATATAGGTAATTTACTATTACATTCCTCAGGGTGTAGCCCATTGTAGGCTTCTAATTTCTTTCTGCATGGCCCTTCATGAAGAGTGAAGTAAAAAAGAACGAGGACACTTTATGGTAGTTTGAACTTGGAATGCTCCCTGTTCTTTTGGTATGGAAATGTCCTTCCTTCAAAAGTGTTCGGATAATCGTAAGAACGTATGATTTAGTTGTTCGGGTTTTCAGATATTGCTAAGTAGAAGAGAAGTACAAGTACAAACTTTATGTCCACTTCCAAGGCCGAGATCTAGTGGTGGGCTTTGATATCTAGTGCTGTTGTTTCCTTATCCCACATCAGTGAAATCAGAACTTCATTCCCCTCCCATTCTTGCTGCAGTCTTTCAGGGTTCTGAAACCTTGCTCCAGGGCATTTCACAGACCTCTGGGACAGATTTTGAGGAAATGAAGGAAGGAGAGGGGAGTCACCAATTATAGGTGAAGCAACAGGATACAGCGGAGAAGTCTGTTGGGTCTTAGTCACTGTCTTTCCACCTACTAAGCTGTTTGTGGTTTGAAGGAACAGGGGAAACCTGCTGAGTGGTTCACCTCCTTGAGGAGCCTACGTTTTATGCCCTCACAAAGGTTCCAGTCATTTTCCTTTCACTGCCACCAGTGGATTACCTCAATCCACAAAATAAATGATGTTTGATCAGACACTTGTATGGTGAATGCAAACAAAACTTGTTTATTAAAGTGAAGTCAATAATTACAGAAGTTCTTCAGATGTACATACTATTCTTTTGCCATATAACTTCCACCTTCTCTATTTATCTTAACCAGTCTCTAACTCAATCTCTATCTCTTCTGCCTCTGACTAACTCACTGACTCTCTCCTGACTGACTGGCTCTGCCTTTTAACCTCTCTCTCAGCTCCGCCTCTCCACCACATTTGCCTAGAACATGAATAATACATTACTTATACCTAACAAAAGGTGAACGCTACACCTGCTATACAATAAATTAACAAAAACAAAATCCGATGTTATGCTAGAGCTTATTAAGGCTACCGTTAAGTTACGATCCATTTTGTTTCCCTAGGCATTGAACTAAAAATAGCTGTATATTACCTTTTAAATACATGGGATGTGTACAGTATGTTTAGGTGGAGGACCTTATCTCAATAACAATAGCAGCAACAACAATAATGAAACCAGGTGTTGTAGTTGTCATCTTATTTCTGTGATAACTTCTTTCATAACGTTGTTTTTAAACCAATAGAGCCTAAAGAGTACATCTATGTTTAGGAAATCCAAAAATAGTCACCAGTTTCTAAATAGAGATCTATACTGTTATTTTAATTCCTTTCTTTTCAACAGTGGTGGAAGCACAATTACAGCTCAAGGGATTAACCTGAATTCAGCATTCTCTCCAAAGATGGTGGTAATGGTCCCCAAACTAGGCAAAAATTTTACTGTGGTAAGTCTACAGCATATATGTTATTATTAGATGCATACTGTATATATGTACAGTACAGTCGTGCCCCGCTTAACAATTACCCTGCATTATGACAAATCCGCTTCACGATGTTTTTGCGATCGCAAAACGATGATCTAAATTTTTTTTTCGCTCTGTATATAGAAGCACTGATATTCCACTGTATTAATTTAAATTTATCCCCAAGTAAGTGTATTTGGGTAACCAGTTTGATGTACAGTGGGGTCTCTACTTAAGAACGTCCCTACTTAAGAACAATCCAACTTAAGAACAGCTCCATTTGCTAAATTTTGCTTCTACTTGGGAACAGAAATCCAAGATAAGAACAGGAAAAAAAACCCTTTCCTGCTCTTTTTTTAACCTTAGGTCATCTTAGGTTAAAAAAAATTCTCCCCCTAGTGGTAGAGTACGTATTAACCAGCTTTGCATTAGTTCCTATGGGAACTAATGCTTCAATGTACGAACGCACCTCTACATAACAAAAAAACAGCCAGAATGGATTAATTGGTTTTCAGTCCATTCCTATGTTTAGCCCATTGGAATGCATTAACCGGGTTTTAATGCATTTCAATGGGTTTTAAAATTTTTCTTTATGACATTTTCGCTCCACAGCGATTTCGCTGGAACGGATTAATGTCGTTAAGCGAGGCACCACTGTACCTTCAAGAGAACATGTACATTTCTATGAATATGTATATAGAAGCACTGATATACCACTGTATTAATTTAAATTTATCCCCAAATAAGTCTATGTGGGTAACCAGTTTGATGTAGTAAATACAGTATGGACTAGGACTCAGGGGACCTTGGTTAAATTACCTGGCTCTGCAATGGAAACTCAATGGGGAATGGAACTGGTAAAAAACACTTCTTAAATATCTTATGCAGGGCTCAGCTACACCTTGTAATACACATGGTTTTGCGTTATTTTTAGCATGCTTGAAATCAATTGAAAATATCTGCTTACAATTTTTGGTTGGAAAGCAAGTTTTTTTAAAAAAATCTTTCACTAGGAGGTTGTTTATTTTAAGTTGATTCTGGCTGTGCTTTTAAAACTTCTTTTTGGCATGTGTGAATGCCTGTGTTGGAGTAAATAGTGTTGGCGCAAGTCTCTGGGTTTTGCCGAAACTGATACCAAGCACAAGAGGTCTTGCAGTCTTTTGTAGTCTTCCTTTGAAAAAAAAATCTATTTCTATTTTATCAATGCATTGATCTAGCATTATGCCAGCTCAAAACTTATACAAAAATCAATATTGAAAATGTGAGGAGAGTGGGGACAAGCTGTTGATGCTGATGCTGTCACTCTTGCAGCAGCACTAAAACCCTTAATTGTTGCTTCCTCAACAATTTCTTGAAAATTCCCCCTCTCCAGAACATGGACTCCCTCTCAACTCTTGTGGTGCTCCCGGCACCTGGAGAAAGCTGGTTGGCTGTTCTTTAGAATGAGGAGGAACCACCATCACGTCCTCACTCTCCCCACCTTCATGGATTGGAAAGCTAGGAGATATTCCCTCTCCCCATCTACTTACAACATAGAGACAAGACCTTGGGTGGTGCATTTTCCACAAGGACACACACACATACCAACTCAAAAAAAAAAAAAACACACATAACGTTATATCGATTCTATAAAATCTGAACCAGCTCCTGATTTAATTCAACATAGTTGGGCCCTTACCTTGAAAGTCCTGTTAGGTTCTCTATAAGTCACTTCTGACTAAACTGCATGTAACACACATGTGTATAGAACTGCAGCCTTCCTTCCTTCCCAGCTTACTTCTACCTTGACAACATTTGGGCCAGTTTATTCCATGGCATTCTCCTGTGTCTCCCTCCTCATGACTAGCAGGCTATCCGGATTTTCATTGGGAAGCATGAATGTGCACATTTAAGCAAACAAAAGGTCAATAAGAGATGTATTTTTTAAAAATATATATATTTTAAATTCCACGAGACTGCTCTGATGAAAAATCAGCCCTATAATACTGTGTAAAGCCAGCCACTTCTGTAAATTAGCAAATTGAGTTCCATGCAGAATGTGTCTACGATATAGTCAGTGACATTCCAAAGGGCTATTCTTCTTTTTATTTTTGAATATATCCTGTATCTGATGTACTCAGTATCAGTTAATATGTGTGGAAACTGGGAACAAATGCATTGAATTATGAAATGCACATAAAAAAGCTACCAGAGAAATATAATATGTCAGTGATGTTGGAAAAATTGGAAAGCAACACAGTACAAACTTTATGCCAGCATGACTTCCAAATATCATAAAACATACTAGATCCCATTAACCTAGTATGTTTTATGACTCATACACTGTTGTATGATTCAGTGTTTATCTTGTTTGAGAAGTGTCCTCTTTTATTTTGGAGAAGTGTATATTTAGGGAAATAGAAGCCAGCATACATTTAAATACCTGTATCAACTATGTATTTAAGACTGAAGTCTAAAAGAGACATATGAGCTAGATTCAGAGAAATACAGCCTGGATTGAGGGTGGGGGTTTGAATTTTGATACCAGCTGCCTAGTAAAGAGCCAGCAAAATGGAATAGGACAAGAAGACCTAGATGGATTATTAATTTATTTTTAAATAAATCAGAGTATAAATAGTTGAGGGCAGCAAGACAAGAGGACAGCGGCATTCAGGAGAATGGAGTAGACAAGAGGGTTACAAAGGAAAAGCTTCCCCTGGGTGAGAGATAAATGATGTGGGAAAAGATGAGTGAGTTGGATTAAGCTAATGCTTGGAGCAGTCCTAGTGTCCCTGAACCCACTGTGGCTGGAGTATTGCAGACAAAAAGGAGTAACTGATCTTTTGAAATTACCAGATCGGTTCCTCCCACATGTGTGACCTCAGTGCTCTAGAACAGATACATCCAGCAGGCATAAAAAAAAACAGAGACAGTATGGCAGAGATGGGGACTTCGAGTCATGTGACTCTGTCAGGTCAGACTTAAGTCACACTGGTGACTAGACTCAGGTTTCCCCCCCCCCCAATGTCTTGGACTTGACTTGCGACTCAGAACCCACCCACCTCTCTTTTATCTGGGGAAAACTTGCTTTTACTGTAATAGGGACTTGAACTTGGGGCTTGGGACTCAGGACTTGTGCCTGAAGATTTGGACTTGGGACTCGGACCCAAAGACTTGCCAACACCTTGCAATATGGAACCATTTTAACTGTGAAATAATGCCATGGATGTTGGCACCTGTGCTAGGAATTTGCATAGGCACCTTCCTTGATGCCAGGGCATCACTGGCGGATGGAAATATTTCTGTGTGAAGGTTTGGACTTGGGACTCGGACCCAAAGACTTGCCAACACCTTGCAATATGGAACCATTTTAACTATGAAATAATGGCATGGATGGTGGCACCTGTGCTAGGAATTTGCATAGGCACATTCCTTGATTAATCTAGGGCATCACTGGCGGATGGAAATATTTCTGTGTTCAGGCATATAATATGTACAGTACTACCAAGAAGAAGGAAATTTTAGCAGTTGGAGATCAAACAGTACATCATTTAGTGCTGCTTGGTTGGTGAGGAGCAGTATAGTCAGATTTAACAAACCACCAGTCACATAAAAGTCTGTTAAAAATGAACCTCCATCCTGAAACCTGGACCTCAGTATTCAAACTCAAGCTGCCGTCAGTAGATTCAGATACAGATTTGCATAATAGCTCAAATTCAGATGCAAGCACATTCAGATGCCAAGCTCAGCGAGAACAATCCTGGCTTTCTGAAAGTTGGTTTATAAAGCTATGAATGAATGGCAGAACCATGTTCTCATCCCTCTGTTCATGTTTGGACTTTGGACTTTTAATCCTAGCCTGTTTGGTGTTCTGTCCAAAGCAGGTTGTCAGTTTACTAAGCAGGACTTTAAAAATAAGATCAAAACATACGTTAAGATCCTGATGGATAGGTAAAACTAAACTAGAACTTCCCATTTAGGACCTAACAGGGCAATCTGGTTTAAAGCGACTAGGATTGAAATACAAGAATCAGCATGAGGAGGATGAATGGCAGATGGATACAATTCTGGTTCCTAGCTTCCTCAGACCATGATTGAAGAACCCAACATTATTATGTCCAAAAGGTTTTATGAGTATACATAACCCTCTCCTCTTTCTCTTTCACCTACTCTCACCTTTATCATTCTGTTCTTCATCTTTGGTGCAACTGAAAACTTCAGGAAAAAGTCTTGCTATCTGATAGATTGATCTATCTAAGCCAAGTGCTATTCTTTTGTTATATCCATCTTTGTTTTCAGCTTTTTTCAAAGTTCCTGCTATTGATTTACTTAATTTTCCCATTCACTGCAATACAGTATAAATCTTTTAGTCATCATCAATATGTTTATTGCTCAGTCACTGAAAATGAACATTTTAGATTCTCTAAATCTAAAAAGGCTTTTTATCATAGGGGTTATTATGATGGCCAAGATTGCATAACATGCTACTCCTTTACCCCTCGGTTTATATGGGTCAGCAGCTAAGTGATGCCCTAAAGAATACAGATCCTCTTCCACATTTATCCTGTTCCATAAGTTAAAGAAAAATTAAGTTAGATATTGGAGTTCAGGCTCTGTGGGTCATGTTTGCATTTATCATTACTGTACATAGGTCATTAGCAGTGTTGACGCAAGGGTACATATATCCTGACATTGTAGGCTCCATGCATTTTATAAAGAAATTTTTGTCTTTCCTCTGGTCAATTTGAAGATTATTCATTTTTTTTAGCAGTATTGCATTTTGGCACTTTCTACTGACATCCCTAAAAACAAAGAAAAAACAACAACACCTTAACTGACAATTTAAATGTTCAAAGTAAATTTATTTAAATCCAAATTAAATAGGTAGTGTCTTAATTTAGTCTGGACTTGATTGGATTGATCCTATTTCCGTTACAGATTATCAATCAAGTATTTCATGAAAGGCATCATATTTTTTCAGTTGCTAAAACCAATTTCAAAGT